CTTGCGATATTAATTTAATCAGCATGGGACATAATAGAAAACCACAAGTTTCTGAATTTACACCTAAGGCTTCTAAATTGCAAACTTCTGTTTGACAAGTATCTAACAATTCTCTAAGCAGAGAGACGTCTGTCGATTTCCTAACAGGTGTTAGATTTAACAGTTTATTTAAATGAGAATTTACGACCGAAGTTTTTTGTCCAAATCTTTCGTTTAAGGTTTTTATTGCTGCTTCGTAATTTTTATTTGTCAGTGTAATTCCTTTAATTGCATTTGCAGTTACTCCAGCTAAACATGAGTGTAAGTAATCAAATTTGTCTACGTTAGATACCGTATTTGACGGCATATAAGACGCACTGGCATATAAGATGCACCCTTATTTAGAAGACCACACACAAGGAAAAAAGTTTCAATAGTCACGCGATAGCACGGTATCACAATAACTTAAAATGTAAATTTCAAGTTCAGGCCAAGATGGAGCTGGGCATCGAAGGTTATATTTTTGTTCTTTAGCTGTCTTCAGTTGATCTTCCTGCAGTCGCCAAGTACGTATCATTTTTTCGGTAGGTGGTGGACCAAAATACATTGCTACTGCTCTGTTTCTATGCGCTTTGGCGTAGTTTAACACTCCTAGTTTATACTGAATTGTATAGCTTAATCTCTTGTTTCCTGTAGTCATATTTTCCAGGGTATTTTTTTAAAACAAATAGTTTTAAACACCGAACCGACACGTTTATACAGAGTAGCACCGATACCGACATGTGTGTCGACTGAGTCAAAGAAAGTCTATGTAAAGAAGGAAAGGCTCCATAGACGTAATGTAACCGTCGAACCTGTTCAAACTTCGACATCAGCTTCGAGCTTTGGAACTTTTTGGTGACAGATATTTCATGCATGCGCAAAATAATTATGGCAGGTGTAGAAAAAGTTATGTGTGTCTAGACCTTTATCTGGGCTAAAAATTTGCATTCAGTATTGAAAGTTAACCTGTGTCCTTCACGTATAAGACGCAGGGAACTTTTTTGAGACCAAAATTAGGAAAAAATGTGCGTCTTATATGCTGTTGAATACAGTAAATCTTCATTTCAGTGTATTAGGGATTCAGACTGATTCCAAAATCTTTGCCAATCAGCAGGATCGCCATCGAATCTTCTTACTGTTAACGATGGTAATTTAACAAATTGTTTTTCTTATTTTAACAAGCTAATAGGTTGTTGTTGCGTTCTTTGTGTACTTGGTTTATATTTATTTATAGCAGTTTTCAACTTGCATGAGCAATTAATCAATTGTTCATAATACTCATCACATTTAATAATTTCGGTTTTGATTTCTTTAACATCCCTAATTTGACTTTGAATTTCAGAATCTATTTTTTTAACTGTTTAAATCTTAAATTTATCTATTTTGAAAGCTCTTCCAACTCTTCGTCTGTTTCATTTTCTAAAAATTCTAGCTTTGATTTTAGAAATTAATCTTCTTGTAGGAGATCTAAGTGTAGCTCTTTTAGCCTTTGCGATTTCCATTTCGAAATCACTTTTTAACAATGCTTTCAAATTAACTTGATATCTTCATTTAACAAAATTTCTCTTCTTATTTTAATTACATAAAGAAGAGGAGTTAGAAGTCATTTGCAACTTTTTCGGTCATCAGTCGAATAAAAACAGAAGTAATTTGCTATATAAGAATCATTTCTTAACAAAAGGAGTCTTACTTGGAACAATGTATCCAAAGATAGCAGCACATATTTAATCCAGAGTTAGCAACACTTGTATACTATATTCTTTATTCGAAGCACAAAACAGCATATTTGGCCCTCCCGGGCCATATCTCTAGAAATGTAAATAAAAGTATTATATTGACTTCCATTATCGAGAGAGCTCTGGTCATACTTAATACTAATAGAACCCAACACTTCAACATTTCACAAAAATAATAATTTTACAGTAACAATAAGAAGTGCATCGATGGTTATCATCTACTACATCGCAAATTGAACTAAACTAACATTCTGTTCTCAGAAGAAGAGCGCCCTCTAAACGGCGATACAAAAATTGTTTGGGGGATTTTTCAACGCCTTCTGTTGTGAAAAGAGATAATTGAAAAATTTCCAGTGGGATTGTTAGATCAAGCAGTGTTCCCATGAGGGAGAACCAGTAAACACTATCAAAAGGTTTACTGATATCGAATGAAACCAATGCAACGTGACAGTGACTTTTATTTTGTGTCACAGAGTTTACATCAAACAAAGATCAAAATCATTATCAAAGTCATATATAGCTACAGGTAAATATATGTGTTACTGCTAAATAGCAAAAAGCGTTAATATGCACATTGCGTAGCTAATCTGCAGATTTGCTCTGTTAAAGTACGGAATCGGAAGTTTTCCACATTTCCCCTAGGTAATATGAACATTAACGGCTTCCATATCAATAAATTTCAAAACTTTGTTTCTCTCATTTCTTTTCCCTCTCCCTCCACTTTGCCCATTACCTACTAGGCACTCTCTAATCCGCAGATAGTCTACTAAGCCCTTTTTAAACTGAAAATAAAATCTTTTCTGAAACAATAGCAGCGTTTCTGTCCGCTTAAATTAACGTAATGTTATTTATTTATTTTTCAATATCTTAAAAGTCAAGTTAATACAATCAAGCATTCAACAGATTAGTTGATAGAATCAATTGTCAGTCAATTTAAAAACTATTACAGAGTTGCCAACTGTCCGGATTTAAGAGGGAGACTCCCGATTTTCGACTGCTCTCCCGCCAACCCGATTTACAATATATTTCTCCTGACTTTTTCTTATTCTTAAAATTTCTCACGATTTTTATGGAACTTGGCTTAATACTTTGTTATGTGAACAAAAAAAAAAAAAAAAAAAAAAAAAAGTAATTTTGGACGTCTGAAAGCAATTGAAAGAAATTTCTCTAGATTATATCAAACAAAACCTTGCGAATCAGATAACTTCTGCTTTGTGAGTGAGAGCATATACATAACCAGAAACATCGTTCTCCAGTTCTCCAATGGGCATCGTGCTCCACTATGTGTCATCTGGCATGTGTTCGCAAATGAGCACAAAGCAAGCTCAAGGCTGTTATTTGGATGTTCTTTAGTTATTTCGTTCATCTTGTCCTGAGTTCTGTGAGTACACGGGCCTTCGGGAAATAGTTTTAGAAATTATCATCTTTTGTTATGTCTGCGAGAAAGGTGAAATACTAGTGTACGTTTCAAAAATTGTACACAGTTGACTTTCCTTCCATTATTTCCTCAAGGAAATGTAATAAATTTGCGATGTGTACCACATGTCGTTGCTGTTTTTCGATTTCGCATGGTGGAAGGGCGGATGTTCTCAAACATGTGCGTACACAAAAACACAAGGACAACATGAGTTGTTTTGTAAAAAGCAAAAAATTAAATGTTTCTTAGGAAACAAAGGACCAAAAAGTTATATATGCAGAATGTCTCTTCTCTGCCTTTTTATTGGAGCACAACCTGCCCCTGTGCTAACAGCTGAAAAAAAGGACAGCTTCTTTACCAATAAATGTGGATGAACACATTGTTGATATTTATTATTATCTTGAAAGGAGTTCTAAAAGGAAGGAAAAATTGAAACAGTTCCAACAACTGCATAACAGCAGTTTACAATTAGAAAACTTAGATGAAGTTATAAAATCAGCTAGGATTGACACCAAATGGAGTTTAATTGGAAAACTGAAAGATGCTGATGGAACCAGGCCTATGTGGCAATTGCTATGAACAAAATTATGAAGTTTCTTTCTTAAAGAAAGCAAAATCTGCTACTGTTTATAACATTTGTTCAAAAACTGATGAAAGTTTTTTTTTTTTTTTTTTTTTAAACGATGCAAATAATAAAAATGTTTTTTATGTGTAAGGTATTTTTGTGTTGAAGAATTAGAATTAGTTACTATTTAAAATTAATTCATTATTAAAAACTATATTTTTATCATTTAAAAAGTCTTTTTAACATTGTGAAAAATCTCCTGATTTTTGAGTGTCATAGGTTGACAAGTATGCTATTATACAAAGAATAAAACGATTTAAAATACTATTACAATTAAGGAAATGAATTTGCAAAATATATGATAAAATTATGCTCACTTATTAGTGAAATCTAAAGATTGGTGACCTTTTGAATTACATAGCAGTTGGATTTTGTGACAAGCACACCTATTTGAGGTAAATTTAGAGTTGCTGTAACTTTCTGAAACCGTGCCTGATCAACAATTTAAAAGTGTAAGTGGCAGCTATTTTAAGCTTGCAGAAACATTGCTGTTGTTCCAGCAAGGATCTTATTCTCACTTTAATGAGTGCCGAGTAAGTAATATGCAGATTATCTAGGTAATTTGCAGATTATTTAGGTAATATAAGAAATGAAGCAATTTTCCACACTTTAGGGGATCATTCTATTTAATCTGAAGATTAGCTAGATAATCTGCCGAATAACTGATTTCCGCACTTTAGCGGTAACATACTATTATAAGTAAGAAAAAGCATACTTCAAATTTTTTGTGATCTACATTTTGAGAACCACTCTTGTACAGTATCTGTTCTTCACAGCCCAATACCATTTATAAATTGTCCTGTATAATTTTTGCATGAATTGATTATATTTATGTGGACTCCCATAAAACAAATCTGCACATCTTTTTTAGTGAATTATCTTCTAGTATAAATGTGCTATTTTTGTTTATTCTGATTGTGAGTAATCATTCTTGAATTACATGATTATTTGCCAGATTATGTCATATTTCTTCTAAAATAGTTCCTGGACCTAAAAACAAGGTATAATATGTTCTACTGCAGTACAAATTGAAAATAAATAATCCTTTTTCTTTTGCTGTTGTGAAGAACTGAAAGGCAATAATGAAACATTTTGTTTTAATTCCAAAAATAACTTAAATGTTTTTTGAATTCTGAATTTGAATATATATATTTCTTTCTTTAAAGTATTTCTCTAAATTTAAATGGTTATGTTTTTCCAGGTAATTCAGGTCCACCTCCACGTTGCTCTTTTCATTGCCGTATGAAGGAAAAATCTCAACCTCGTTCTGAAGCAGCTACTTATCAATCTGTTCATTTTACTGGAGATATATCTCTGTGTGAGGAAGATGAAAATAGTGCAAAACATCCAAAACCTAGTCAGTATTCTCCTGGTTAAGTTTTTTGTGATAATGAAACTACTGCATGTATATATTTACATGCAGGCTGTATTGAAAAAACAGAATATATAAATTTGTTTGATAAATTTTAATGATAAACAATGTATTTATTATTACAATTTCTTATTTTTTCGGGGTTGGCCGAGGGCTGAACAAAATTGAATCAAAGTGTGCATGCGACCCTCATGGTACAAGCTTGACAAGCGTATAATAACAGATTATCAGATATCTTTTCAGATTGAATGTGTTCATAAAGAATAAATGCTATCTTAAATTATAGTCATATTTTAAATTAATTGTAACACTTTCAAAACATATGAATTGCTTCAGTATCTTGTGGATCATTTCACATTTTTGGGCTCTGATCTGAAATAAGTTTTGATCTACATATCACAAATCTAGATTATTGAAAGAAATTAATTATGTTGATTTCTTATAGCATTATAGAGACAAAATTTGTGCTCTTTTATTTTCCAGCATTTTTTGTTCTTTCAATGCATTTTTATCCTAATTATTGCCAGATGAGGGAAAAAAGGAAATTGTATTTGGAATTGAATTCTTCAACTAAGATAATCAGTTTCGAGTTAAATCTTTTGTATAATGCTAAAAATAAAATTAGCATATGCGGCAGAACATTTTGTTCTGAACTTGGATAAAATTTTTAAAATCTGATATAATTTTATTTCATTGAGAACTGATTTTCTTTTGTTCAGTGATTATTATCAGCAGATGTAAAATATACATATATAGTCTTACATTATGTTTTATGTAGTCATAAAATCCAATTCTCTCTTCATTAGTTGTTATTCACTACCATAGTGTGTTTAAGGTGATGTTATATGCAGGTTTTGTGTGAATTGACTTTTTGATGTGCATCAGATATCTGTGATGCAGTGGTGTGCAATTATTTTATGAATGCAATCTCTGTAATGAATAATTTTATTCTGGAGACATAAAGTCAAATAAATTTGAAAATGTATTTGAAATTGCAATTAAATATGTATTTTTAAAGAGGCAATTAATTTATGTCAGTATATTAAACTTATCAATTAAAATATTAACAGTTTAATTTAGCCAAAAATAACATTATTAACACCAAAAGTAAATATTATTAATAGAAACTGAGATAAACCCTTAAATGCTCATAACTACTTCCAAGCATTCTCTACTTTTGGTTTAATTTTAGGAGTAGGAATATTTTTCCATTCAAAGGCTGCATTTTAATATATCAAGATCTTTCGTATATTTTTGTATGTGAAAAACATGGTCAGTATAACTAATTATGTAAGGAATAACATTCTTTCAATAAGAAAATAAATGAAATTTTTGCTTGTAAAATATTTTCAGTTTGTTACATCATGGATTGAAAGCTGATTTTATGACTGAGGTAGGCAGAAAAGGCTCTATAACTTTTAAAAGTAACATTTAACCCTTTAACTTTTAAATTTTGCTGTCCAGTTGTTCCTAAATTCTAAAAGTTGTTCTGCTCCTAAATTCTGACACCTGGTGTGCAATTTGCACAGGGTGCACCAGCTGTGGCCCAAGCCCTGCTTCCATTCTAATAATAATATGAACATCACGCTATCTAATAAGCTATTTCCACTTCTCTATATATTGAATTTCCCCCTCACTTATTATTGTCCAAGCTATTCAGATGGAATAGTGGCTCTGATTGCCGTACCGAAGGGCACGAGTTTGAATCTCGGAGGAAGCATGGATGTTTGTATAGTGTCTGACAACCAGTCTTCCCTGAAATACAGCGTTGAGAACGACATTGCGACAATTTTAAATCCATGCCTTCTCTGGGATTCGAACGTGGGCTCTTCGGTATTGCCATCAGGCTCTTCTAACCGCTATACCATCTAGGCGGCATTTTTTAGCTCTGTTTTGGTTCTTTAAAATCAAAAGATGCAAAAATATGAAGCAGAAATCATTAAATGAAACAGATATATAAAACGGATAAAGAAGATGAAAAAGTTTGACATATCTAGACTTGTTCCTCAAATTGGCTGAATTCTATCACTAATTATTAAATTCTCATTGAATAGGGGGATAGGGGGCACAAGTACATGGCATAAGGCTAACAAAAATTGGTGCTTCCATTTGTGCATTTTGACGGGTCTTGGTTGAATAAGCTTGGTTCATTCATGTAGAAATCTTAAATAGAGGTGGGGTATACTTCCTGGAATTTTTTTTACTAGTTTAATGAAATACAAAATGGCATCAGAATGTACAAGGTCATTTTAAGAAACAAAATGGCGAATGATTTTAAACGCAATAATTTTGATTAATACTAATTTTGGCCCAAAGAAGCAGAAAAAGAAAGTAAAAAAAAATGACAGTCTTTGCACATCTTTGAAAAGCAATTGTCCCTTTTATTAGTAAAAAGGGAAGTGGAACAGTTAACTTGTCTGCTTCATTCGGATACAACATGACAGACTACATGACTTGCATTAGACTTTAAACTTGTGAGGATTTATCTATTTATTTTTAACCAATAGTTAATTTTAAGTTGAAGTTCTTTTCTGTCATTTTCTTTTCACCGACACTTTTCATGCCAGAATGTAAATGAGATAGCGAGCATTTATTTAGATTGAAGGAGAAAGAAGAGCTATTTAAGCAAAGGCTTCACAAGTTGACTTTAGAGCATGATTTGCTTACTTGAGGCCATGTTGTACCATGACTTAAGAGTAATTTGGTTCTGTGGCGTTGAGTGTTTCTAGCCATTAAGCTTGTCTAGATGGTTTTCTAGAAACCAGAACTTTCCTGTGTCTTACTTTATCCTGTGAGCTGTTAGACTGATCTATTACATTTTATTTCAGCATTATGTATTTAAGTTAAGCCAGAAGTATTGGCTTGTGTAAACCAAATTTGGGTCAATTTTACTTCTTTGTGTTCAAATAAAAGGGTCTTATACACCTTTATTCTGACTTTTGCTTCTGTAATCATTAAACATGTAGATAATTCTTCTACAGTCTTTTAGAGTTGGTAGTGAATGCTTCCCAAGAATACTAGACTATAACTAGACTTTTGAATTCTTATTTGTTTCCTGTGTTATTTCATATATCTAAAAACTGTACAGAAACTTTATATCTGTACCTCAGTTATTAGCATCAAAGAATTTGCATTGAGAAGAAGTAAAGCTTCAATGATACAGCAATGCCATGGAGAAAAGCTGAGTTGAAAGGCATTGACTAACTTTAGAAGTGCAAAGACATAATTTGAAATTCATCTATGAATGCGATCCAAAACCACCAGCAGTATCTGAGAGTCTGTCACAGCGGTATGATTTAAAAAAGTGAATTCTGTGCACGAAACTGTTACTAACTTCTTTAATCTTAGAAATACATTTAAGTTGCCAGTGTTATGTTAAAAATCCATGTCATGACATGAGAATGTAACAGAAAATCATATTTTATGAACAATGGAATGGAAACTCATTGGAGCATTTTATTTCAAAATTATAATTCAGACTATTTTAAGAAGTCAAAAACGTCTGACAGTATATCTGTAAAGTTTTCTTAGTCAATGCAGGTTCTCTACCTTACTTTAAAAAACCTCTGGCTGCCCAAAATATCCCAAAATGAAACTTCAAATCCATAAATTTTCAAAATAATAATAATAATGCTAGCCACAAAATGGACAATCCTAGAAACCCTCCTCCTGAACAGAACAAAATAACATCTTCTAAGAAGGAATTCCAAATTTATTCTTACCTTAAAACTTAAATCTTATTCAGAAACAGTTAACAACACTAACCCCAATAAAAATTTTATCGAATTCTTTTGCACAATTTGGGAGTTTGAAAACATCTTTGGATCTTGGGAGTATGGTAACAGGTAGTTTGCCGATTTTCGTGACAGCCTGTAAGACAATAAATGTTACTGTCTGGGACACCAGCAATAACCTGAAAACATATTTCCAAATAGAGTTTATTTTGCTATAGATGAATCAGAGATCTGAAGACATCTCATGGAACACTTATTGACGAATCACAGTTCTTGAGTCTAAATGGGGGGATTTGCAACAACATGTGTGGTACTTCACATTACTGTGTATCTTGTGTGAAGCACTGTTGCATTGAATACTAGTGAAGCACTGCTAAACATTTGGAACCTATGGCCATCTCAAAAGTGAATTTTTGCTACGTTTATGTAATGATCTAAAAGATTTGCTTGATTGCATCATGAGTGCCGTTTTGATTTCAAATAAGTATAAATCTTCAGCATGACGGAATGAAATGACATTGTGTGAAAGGAAGGACATTACAGATCAGTCTGAATGGCAATGGAAGAAATCTAGTGAAAATGGACATTTTGTGAAATGGATTGTAAGGAAGGGTACTTCATTTGCTGAAAGTCATTTGAGTATAGGTGAAATTTTATGCATTTCTTACTGGCTCAATTGACTGCAAGTTAACTGCTGGATTTAAGGTTTAGGAATTAGCTGTAGTACTGCAGCGGATTGGAACTGTTACTATAGATAAGGGTGCATAGAATTTAGCGAGAATAATACGAGTATGCTTGGTAGTGTGGATGTAATTGTTGAAACTGATGAAAGTAAATTTGGCAAGTGCAAGTGCCAGAGAGTGGAAGGAAAATGAGTGTTTGGTGGGGATGAAAGAGGAAGTAACAAGCATTTTGTTGACAGGTTGGTGGCAGACAGAAATAAAGTCTGCTTATTAAGTTTCATTAAACAGTATTTTCTACCAGGCACTACAATAATATTCAGCTGCTGATAATCATAAGCCTGTTTGGAAGATGAAAGTTTTCAACAACTTGCCTTAACCATCAATAAAATTTCTAGGATCTTGAGACAAATGCACATAGAAATAGGATAAAAGGCACATGGGGTGCCATCAAAAGTGCTATTCTAACAAACCCCAATAAACAGAATTGCACATTTTATTTAGCAGCGCATGAATGGCAGAAAAATTCCCATAAAATATCATTCAATGATTTTGTTGAATGTACACAAAG